TATGTGACAGGAGCACGTTTCAAGAGGAGTGATTATGATGCCTGTTTATACTATAAAGACATTGACACAGATAAAGCAGTTTATCTCTTACTCTATGTGGGCAACATGCTTATTACGAGTAAGGACTTGAGGACAGTAGATGAAGTCAAAAGGATGCTTAGTGTTGAATTTGACATGAAGGACCTAGGATGTGCTAAGAGAATTCTGGGCATTAACATCAAGAGGGATAGAAGAAATAAGGTGCTTTGTCTCTCTCAGGAGGTGTACTTGAGAAAAGTTGTTAAAAGGTTTTCTATGGACCAAGCAAAGGAAGTTAAGGTTCCACTAGCAGGCCATTTCAAACTCTCAGCAGAACAGTCACCAACCACCAAAGAAGAAAAGCTCAAAATGGCTAAGGTTCCTTTCTCAAGTGCAGTAGGTTCATTGATGTACTCTATGATCTGCACTAGGCCTGATCTGGCTTTTGCAGTAAGTGTTCTAAGCAAGAATACGTCAAATCCTGGAGAAGAGCATTGGTTAGCACTAAAATGGGTGCTAAGATATGCAAACAGTACTATAAACTATGGTCTCATCTACAAACATTCTAAAGGTCCTTTAACCTTGGATGGGTTTGTAGACTCTGACTACACAGGTGACATGGACAGAAGGAGATCTACTTCAGCCTATATGATGACTTTGGGTGGAAACTGTATAAGCTGGAAGTCACAGCTTCAGCCAGTAGTGGCTTTGCCTAGCACTGAGGGTGAATACATGGCTGGAGTAGAAGGATTCAAAGAAGCTATTTGGCTTCGAGGTTTGTTGAATGAGCTCAAAGTTCTTAAAGGTTCAGCAACAATTTATTCTGATAATCAGTCAGCCGTCCATTTGTTTAAGAATCCAGTATACCATGAGAAGACCAAGCATATTGAAGTTAGGCATCACTTCATCAGGGAGAAAGTGGAAGGAGTAGTTGAATTGGAGAAAATCAGTACTGAAGACAATCCTTCAGATATGGCTACAAAGGTGGTTCATGCTGGGAAGTTCTAGAAGTGTTTGGAACTGCTCAACATAGGCAAAACGTGAGGCAGTGAAGGAGGAGCTATGACCCCACTCAGAGTTCCTTATTGTTCCAGAAGATTCACACTGTCGCTTATTGGAATTAAGGTGGAATTTTGTAGCAGTAATTCCAACTCAACGACAGCTTGAAGAGAGGAAGCTACATGCCATTTTATCTAAGGCTGGTTATATGTCTTATTAAAGAGTCCAATTGTAATATAACACATGGAAAGCTAAATTAGTCTCTCCCATGTGCCAAGTCTTTCTATTAGTGTATACTTGGGCCTCGTTCACTTCGCGGATTCGAGTTTTCAATTCGAGCTGAGATGTGACATTTTCTGACTGAGCTTTACATTGTAGCAAAAAAAGTTAGATGTGACATTTTCTGAGAGCTTTTTACTTTAGAAACTTAAAACTGAAAACTCGAATCGGTGAAATGAACGAGGCCTTGATGTATATATAAACTAGAAGCTCAGCTTTAGGAAATAATATATAATACAGAGTTCTCGTTTTGGGTTCTAGTGAAAGAATCTGCAAGAATCAAGATTGTAGAGAGAGAAACAGTTGAGAGTGTTTGGGTAGTAAGAAAGTCTAGGAAAGTTAGGGATCTTTTCCACTGGGTATTTTCTCTGGGATAAATTCTTGTAATTTGGGGTTTCTTCTCTGGAGAGATTCTTGAGTTGTTTTCTGGTTGGGATTCTGTAATCAAGTGAGCTGTGAGGGTGTAATTTCTTCCCCATTAGTGAAAAGAGCTTCGAGTGGGCAAGCTCAACAGGGACGTAGGGATTTATCCCGAACCTCGGTAAAACAAATTCATTCGTGTTCTTGTTTTGTGTGAGTTCTGAGATTCCAAATTCTTGAATCTGGTGTTGGTAATTTGCCAACAGCACATCTACGTTTTCTGAAGAAAAAAAATGATTTGTGACTTTTATTGATGATCGCACAAGATTAAATTGGGTTTATTTGATGAGAAACAAATCTGAAGTGGAAATAATTTTCAAAATCTTCTACACTGGTACAAACTTAATTTCAAAAAACCATTCAAATTTTATGGAGTGATAGTGGTCGCAAATATTTCAAAAATGTTTTGGGGCAGTTTTTTTCCCGAAAAAGGAATTGTTCACCAAAGTTAAACATCTTTTGGAAGTTGCTCGAGCTTTACTTTTTACCGATAAGGTACCTAAATATCTTTAGGGCTAAATTAGATGCCTAATAAAGTTTTGAACTTTAAAACACCTCTTGAGGTTTTTCATAACTTTTATCCAACAAATAGGCTATCTTCCTCTTTACCCTTAAAGATATTTGGTTGTACCACATTTGTTCACATTCATAACTATAATTGCGAAAAACTTAAGTCTCGAGCTGCAAAATGTGTCTTTGTTGGTTATACTTCCACTCAAAAGGGGTATAAATGTTTCAAACCTATTTCCAAAAAAAAATATGTTTGTTACCATGGATGTTACTTTTTTTGAGTTACACTCATACTTCATGCCTCATCTTCAGGGGGAACCAAATCCAAGATTCGGCTTTCCATGATGTTTTCCAAACCGAAGAATCTAATTCTCTCCCCACCTTGACCGTTCAACCTACCCACATGTTGTTATACCAGAAGAATGTGGGTCGAGTGTTGTTATACAAGGAGAAAGTGAAGAAAGTGGGTCGAGTGTTTTAGACATTAAAAATTCAAGTACTCCTACTATGCCCTCTCATGATGTTCATGACTCCACAACTCTTAACAAAGGAACTACAGGGTTAAAAACTTTTGACATTGTTTATTCGAGACGGAAGACAACTCAAAAGAACAGGTCCTCCAATCCCTTACACTGCCCAAAATCCGTAAATACTCCAAGCAATATCCTTACCGAGGCTTTACAAAACGTTCAACCTACTTCATCTTCGAGTTCTGAGTCTCCTAGTCCAAAAACTGAGCCAAGTCCCAATTCTGAGTAATGATTTAAGCCTTCCCATTGCACACCGAAAAGGTGTCGGTCATGCACCCAACATCCTTTATCACATTATGTGTCATATAAAAATCTCACCTGTTTTTCATGCCTTTACCTCTCAATTGTCTTGTTTAGAGATTCCTAATAGTGTGCAGGATGCTTTGAAAGTTCCCGAGTGAAAGGAGGCTATCTTCAAGGAGATGAAAGCTCTTGAGAAGAACATCACGTGGAGTTAGTCAATTTGCCGAGAGGAAAAACAATTGTAGGGTGCAAATGGGTGTTCACTGTCAAATATAAGTCCGATGGCTCACTAGAACGGTGCAAAACACGTCTGGTTGCCAAAAGATTCACTCAAACCTATGGCATTGACTACCAGGAATCATTCGCTCCAGTTGTGAAGCTAAATACCGTAAGAGTTCTCTTATCTCTTGTTGCTAACCGTGATTGGCCTCTACAGCAGTTGGACGTTAAGAATGCATTTCTCAATGGGGACTTTGAGGAAGAAGTGTAATGGATGCACCCCTAAGATTTGATGAGAAGTTTGGAACAGAGGTGTGTAGACTGAAGAAATCTTTATATAGGTTGAAATAGTCACCGGGGGCTGGTTTGAGAAATTCACTCAGTTTATTAAAAGTCAAGGGTACACTCAAGGGCAAGCTAATCATACTACGTTCATCAGACATTCACGGGATGCAAAGATAGTTGTGCTAATTGTGTATGTGGATGATATAATTCTCACTGGAGATGGTGTATTTGAGACAAACCAGTTGAAGACTTCTCTCTCCTAAACATTCGAGATCAAGGACTTAGGATCTCTAAGATTCTTTCTGGGCATGGAGGTGTGAGATCAAAGAAGGGAATCGTTGTGTCTTAATGAAAATATGTTCTTGATCTCCTTAAGGAGTCTGGGATGAGTGGTTGCAGGCCAGTAGACACTCCAATTGATCCCAATCAGAAGCTTGGGGATGACAAAGAAGGTGATCCAGTGGAAAATTGATTTATTTATCCCATATTCGACCAGATATTGCTTTTGCTGTGAGTTTGGTAAGTCAGTTTATGCACTCACCTTATGAGAAACATCTTGAAGCAGTTTATTGGATTCTTCGATACTTGAAAAGCACTCCAGGCAAAAGTTTGCTCTTCCAGAAGACCTCACAACAGATTATTGAGGCTTACACTGATGCAAATTGGGTCAGTCTCGATTGTTGACAGGAGATCCATGTCAGGTTAATGCACTTATGTCTCGAGAAACCTGGTTACATGGAGAAGCAAGAAACAAAATGTAGTTGCAAGAAGCAGCATGGAGGCAGAATACAGGGCAATGGCTAACGGAGTTTGTGAGATGCTACGGGTGAAAAGAATTCTCGAAGAGCTGAAGATGCCAATAAACATGCCAATGAAGCTATATTGTGACAACAAAGCCACCATTAGCATTGCACAGAATCCAATGCAACATGACCACACGAAGCATGTGGAGATTAACACGCTTCATAAAAAAAAAGATTGATTGTGGAGCTATTTGCATGCCTTTTGTCCCTACTATGCAACAAATAGCTGATAAATATTCTCACTAAAGGACTTTTCAGGCCTAATTTTGAACTTCTTGTAAGCAAGTTAGGCATGTTTAATATCTATGCACCAACTTGAAAGGGGGTGTCCGATTTGTAGGAATTAATTAGGCTATTTTAGGATATTTTATTTTTGCAAATAAATCAGAAATAAATGTAGTTTCCATTCCTAGTTTATAGCAGAGGATTTGCTGATTGTGTGTGAGCTGTAATTGTTGATTTTGTGGGCATTCCTTTGCAATTTATTCATGTACTCGTTCTTTGTAATTCAAGCAGAAATATTATCTTTTTCTTCCCTAAATCTATAACTTCAATATATATGCTCTCACAAATATATGCAATTTGGCCATTTCCCCACAATTTAAGGTTTGGAAAATGACATGTCAAACTATATGTCCATGTAAAATTCTCTTTTAGATTCCAAAAAAAAGTAAGCATTCATTTCCAAACATACCCCGGCCTCTCCTTGTATGGGTTCGAATAAAAATCCAGCTATTCGATCTCCACTTTCTGCACCCCACAACAATCAACAATTTCAAGGTAAACAATAATTTCTTCTGTCCCCAAAATAGTAATTATCAATCATAAGAAGGATATGAGTTCACAATGAGTTATTTTTATTTAGTCGTGTTACTATTTTGACTCAAAAATTTGGTATAATTTATACAAATGAAACAGTTTGTAATCATATCATAAGATATGTAAGAAATATGACAAGCATCATGAAGATTTAAGAGAACAAAGAATTATTTAAACCTTTAAAAATTTTCTCAAGGGCTGCTGAATCACCAAAATCAACTTTAAGATGGCCAGGCAACAAAGGTCCAAAACCTCGGGTTGCCTCGTTGTCACAGCTCATCGAGATGACAGCCAATGTACGACCATGGAAGCATCCACAGCATGATACAATGATAGCCTGCATAGAAACCATGTGCAACACTAGTCTACTTATTAAAACAAATAAAACGGAGGGCATTATGAAGCAAGAATTTAAAAATAGAAAAAGATAAGTTTTAGGAACGTCAATTTAAATCACTAATAATCACATAAATTCAGTTAGGAGGTGAACAAAAGTTGAGAAAATGAGAAAATCCAAGACCGAATGATATTGAGAAAAGAAGAAGGTGAAGTGACAATAAAAACAAGTTGAAGGAAACTTAAAATGCTGCATTGACATATACACAATAACCAAGACGAGCAGGAGTTATGACACAGTTCTTATCCTCAAAAGGTACCTCAGCAAGAGCATTGCCATATACAAACACGTAATGACTTGACAACATGCTAACGAAATTCCTCATAATTCCATGCTTAACAATTTATATGCTTGCACAATTTGAACATTATACTAAAGGAAATAGTATTAAAAAACCTATAAAACAATGAAGGCTTACGAAGGCAAGTAAGTGTGTTAAGCTTGGCCAATTTGAGATGGATCGAAGAAGATTTTTTTTTTTTTTTTTGGGTATATTGTTCTGTTTTGTTTTAATAATTGAAGAAATCGCTGAATATTCTTCTTGTATTGAAAAGAGATTTACAACCTAATATAAAGCTAACCGTGTGGCTGGCATACCAATCCACCAAAATAGGACACTAAAATTCCTTTTAATTAGGAATCCCAACAAAACAGGAAAGTGAATAAATCACAATAACTAATTCAGAAAACATAAACTAAATCTAAATCTAATCTTTTCTAAATAAAGAAGGTAAATAAAACTTCCTAACTTTACATAAGAGTCGATACCCTTTTCTACACTCCCCCTCAAGCTGGGTTGTATATGTTATACAAACCAAGCTTGGAGTTCAACTCATCAAAACTAACCCTTGGAAGTGCCTTGGTGAGAACATCAGCAATCTGCTGCTTTGTTGGAACATAGCTGAGCTGAACAATCCCATTGTTGACCTTCTCTGAGATGAAGTGTCGATCAATCTCAATGTGTTTTGCTCTATCGTGGTGTACAGGATTTTTGGCTATGTTAATAGCAGCTTGACTATCACTGAACATCTTGACTGAGTCTTGTACTTCAACTTTAAGTTCTCTTAATAACCTTTGTAGCCACATTCCTTCACATATTCCTAGTGTAAGAGCACGATATTCTGACTATGCACTACTCCGAGAGACAACAGCTTGCTTTTTGCTTCTCCAAGTGACAAGATTGCCCCAGACGTGGGAGCAATAGCCAGTAGTTGATCTCCTATCAGTTAGCTCTCCTGCCCAGCTAGCATCAGTATAGATTTCCACCTCACGGTTTTCACATTTTCTGAATAGTAAACCATGTCCGGGAGTCATCTTTAAATACCTCAAAATCCTGTTTACTGCCTCTAAATGATCCTCAGTTGGATTATTCATGTGTTGACTTACTACACTGACTGAATATGCAATATCAGGTCTAGTGTGAGATAAGTAGATGAGTTTCCCAACCAGCCTTTGGTACCTTCCCTTGTCAACAGTTCTTCACTTCTGCTCAATCTTTTAGTTGGATCCATAGGCGTGTCAGCAGGTTTGCATCCAAGTAAACTTGTTTCACTTAACAGATCCAAAATATACTTCCTTTGGGATATGACGATCCCTTCCTTAGACCGAGCCACCTCCATTCCTAAAAAATACCTCAGAGTCCCGAGGTCCTTGATCTCAAATTCTGTTGCCAGCAGCCTCTTCAATTTGAGAATTTCCTCTGAATCATCTCCTGTCAAGATGATATCATCAACATAAACTATGAGAATAGCCATCTTCCCTCCTGATTTGCTTTTAACAAACAGTGTATGGTCAGCTTGACACTGTTGATATCCATTAGCTATCACAGTCCTAGCAAACCTGTCAAACCATGCACGAGGAGACTGCTTCAAGCCATACAATAACTTCTTCAGTTTGCAAACTTGCCTGTTGTTTAACCTGTTTTCCAGCCCTGGAGGTATGGTCATGTAGACTTCCTCTTCAAGATCCCCGTTCAGGAAGGCATTTTTAACATCAAGTTGGTATAATGGCCAATCTTGATTCACTGCAAGAGAGAGTAGAACTCGAACAGTGTTGAGTTTAGCCACAGGTGCAAAAGTCTCCTGGTAGTCTATCCCATATGACTGTGTGAAACCCTTTGCTACAAGTCTAGCCTTGAATCTCTCGACACTTCCATCAGCTTTGTACTTGACAGTGAATATCCACTTGCATCCAACAGGATTCTTACCAGGAGGTAGTGATGTAAGAATCCATGTGTTATTACTTTCTAGAGCCCGAATCTCTTCCTCTACTGCCTTTTTCCATGCTGGGTTCTTTAGAGCCTCTTGAATAGAGTCAGGTACCTTCACACTATCCAGGTTTGTGACAAAAGCCCTGTAAGAAGGTAGTAATTTCCCATAGGCTACATACTTCTCAATTGAATGTCCAGTACACCCACAAACACCTTTTCTATGAGCAATTGGAAGATTTGAATCATCAATCATGGGAACACGAGTGTCATAAGATGAGAAATCCATACCATTATGATCATCGAGTGCAGTAGGACTTGGTTCTGGTGATTGAGGGTGCTGATTTTGCATAGTTTCGTCTATGTGCTCAGCTGGTCTTCTCCTTCTATAGACACAAAGTTCAGGATTATTAGTGTCAAGTTGTGGTGGATTTGAGACCATTGGTTCTGTTTCAGGTGTAGGAACATGGACTGTTTCTGTGACTGTTTCTGTTTCAATGATAGGGACAATGGCAGGGACAGTGGTAGATTTTGGTGGAGGAAAACTGGCTTGAGTGTCTTGAAGGAGGTCCCAAATCTGATATTCCCTTGAATTCTCCCCCTGAATGTAGGATTTGGGAAAGTAAGATTGGTTTTCAAAGAAGGTGACATCCATGGAGTTATATACTTTTCTAGTGATTGGAGAATAACACTTATAACCTTTTTGATTAGAGGAGTAACCAAGGAAGATGCACTTGAGAGACTTGGGATCAAGTTTGGTGCGGTGATTGTGGTGGATGTGAACAAAGGAGGAGCAACCAAAGACTTTGAGTGGTATGTCTGAAGAAAAGGAGCGGATATGTGGATATGCATTTATAAGAACATGGCGAGGAGTCTGAAATTTTAGGACACGACTGGGCATCCTATTTATGAGATATGTGGCTGTGAGTATGGCTTCTCCCCAGAAATGCTTAGGTACATTATTGGTAAACATAGTGGCACGGGCTACCTTAAGCAAATGTCTATTTTTCCTCTCAGCCACTACGTTTTGTTGTGGAGTGTCGACACAAGAGCTTATATGAATGATACCGTGTTTGGACAGATAAGAACCAAGGATGGAATTAAAGTAGTCTTTAGCATTATCGGTTTTGAGGACCTGAATATTGCTTTGAAATTGAGTGGAGATCATTGAATGAAAAGAATGAAAGATGGTGGCTGTTTCAGATTTTTCTTTCATAAGAAAGGTCCAAGTTGTTCTTGTATGGTCATCTATGAATGTCACAAACCACCGAGCCCCATTGATATTTTTCACACTGATAAAAATTGGATTTTTTATTGATAAACAAATGAGGAAACAATTTCTCGACATAAGCAAAGTTTGGATGACCAAGGCGATAATGCCATAACATGACTTGACTTTCAACTAAAACAGAATTAGAATTGGAAATAGACACAGAATTAGAAGCAAACTTGACAGACTTTGGACTAGACTTTAAAATACAACTTGAAGGGTGAACTTGTCTATTTTGGAGATTATTTTCCTTGAGCAGATATAGACCACCATGCATCTCAGCACTGCCAATCACCCTCCTCGAATCCACTGCCTGAAAATCACAAAGATTGGAATAGAATTTAGTAACACAGTTTAGGTCACGGGTAAATTGGCTGACGAAAAGTAAATTGCAGCTCAATTTAGGAACATAAGGGACAGAGGAAAGGAGAAGTTCCTTTGTCAAATGAACTGATCCGGTTCCTGCCACTGGTGAGAATGATCCATCAGCAATTCTGACTCCAGAGTGACTAGTGCAAGGCTGAAAATTATTGAGAATGTTGAAGTCTCCAGTCATGTGGTATGAGGCTCCTGAGTCAACTATCCACGGTTTTGATTGGTTATTTTGGACAATAAAAGCATTGGATGGGAAACCTTGATGTGCAAGAAGGCTGGTGTGTTGCTCGGCAGTGGAGTGTGATGCCTGTCCAGGATTAGCAACTTGGCTAAGCATTTTCTGCAGTGCCTCAATTTGTTCCTTGGTGAATGGACTGCCATCTGCACTAGTTTCTGTAGTGACAGCAGCATTCGCACGGTTCTCCCTTTCATATCGACCATTAGATGGCTTCCAATCTGTAGGTTTGCATGTAATTTCCAACATGTCACCTTTACATGACCAAGCTTCTTACAGTGGTCGCACCATGGACGTCCTTTGCCAGCCCTATTGTTCTAAACTGTGGGTGTATAAGGCTGAACCTTCAACTGCAGGTGTGATGTTAGTATCTGTCATCATCAATTTCTTCCTGCTCTCCTCCCTCCGGACTTCTGCAAAAGCTTCTCGGATAGTAGGGAAAGGTTTACTTCCCATGACTCTTCCCCTGACTTGATCTAGGTCTTTATTGAGACCAAGGAGGAATCTGATCGTTCGTTTCTGCTCAACAATCTGCCTATACAATGCAGAATCATTAGCACACTTCCAGGAGTGGATCTCATACAGGTCCAATTGCAGCCAACAGCGTGTGAGAGCATTGAAATATTGAGTAACACTCAAATCTCCTTGTTTTAGGTCATACAACCTAGTCTCAATCTCAAATAACTCTGATGTGTTCTCTATGCTGGAATACGTTTCACGAGCAGCCTCGCATATCTCCTTGGCTATTTGGTGAAGCAGAAAATTTTCTCTAACCTCCGTGGTCATGGAATTAATTAGCCATGACATCACAAGATGATCATCAGTTTTCCAGGACCGGTATTTAGGATCTGTTGATTCAGGAGCAGCAGTTTCGCCTGTGAGATGTCCGTCCTTCCCTCGACCGCAGATATACATGAAGACAGATTGTGACCATTGAAGAAAATTATGGCCATGGAGTTTATGATTTGTGACAAGATGGGAAGTATCGGGAACAGAGGGAACTGAAGGATGAGACTCGGATCTAGAGGTAACTTCTGAGGAGGAGGATTGTGAAGCCATGCCGTACTTGGTCATGGTGAAGAAACGGCCAGATAAAGAACGGCCAGAAAGAAGAAGAAAGAAGATTAGGGCTCAGAGCTTGGCTCTGATACCATGAAGAAATCGTTGAATATTCTTCTTGTATTGAAAAGAGATTTACAACCTAATATAAAGCCAACCGAGTGGCTGGCATACCAATCCACCAAAATAGGAAATTGAAATTTCTTTTAATTAGGAATCCCAACAAAATAGGAAAGTGAATAAATCACAATAACTAATTCGGAAAACAGAAACTAAATCTAAATCTAATCTTTTCTAAATAAAGAAGGTAAATAAAACTTCCTAACTTTACATAAGGGTCGATACCCTTTTCTACAATAACAAATTCAATGGTTCAGAGCCTCCTGACTTGTAAAGTCCCTTCAAAATAACATGCCCCCTGACTTGTGGCTTACCAAACTTTTCCTAATGTAAGACACAAATACTGCCACACATTATATATGTAAATTCATATTACAGAAAACAAATATAAGAGAGACTACTTTACAATCATATGTGTTACAAATAATTCTCCTGAATTTACCTCATCTTTCGGAATCTTCTTCTTCTCATAAAACAAATATAATAGAGACTACTTTACAATCATATGTGTTATAAATAATTCTCCTAACTTTACCTCATCTTTTGGAATCTTCTTTGTCTCATAACCCCATTTCCTAGCCAACTTCAGAGCTGTTTCCACACCTTCAGCTCCGGTGTTCATAGGCAGCACCATGTCATATCCAAACATATCTGTTAGACGCTTAGCAAAAATTGGAAATCTATCATTATAGAATGCTCGAGAGCTAAGAGTGAGCCTTTCTGCTTGTTCTTGTAATGCTTTCATGATCCTTGGATGACAATGTCCCTACAGCAGAAGGTGATGAAATCTAGTAATGAAAACAAAATAGAAGGCCAGGTCCCAACGATATAAATTCTCTTAAAACTCGATCAGTAAATAAATAAACTCTTTCTCTGCATTTCCTTAAGATACAGAAAAAAGTAGCTATAGTCACAGAATCTTGAAAGTTGGCCAAAAGACAACTATTGGAAATATATTATACAAGTTTATAAATGCAACTGCAGCCATAGATCTGATAACAAGATCCATCAATATCATAGTTGAGACTGCTTTAGGCAAAGAAAATTCATTTGAATTGGTTTAAGTAGAGAGACAGGGTACTATTAAATCGCCAAAATAAGCAGAGCTATACATTTCAATCTTTTCTACCTGGTTAACTGCAGAGTAAGCAGAGAGAAAGTCTAGATATCTGTTGCCCTCTGGATCCCATATAGATGATCCCTTCGCTTGAGAGAAGACTACAGGAATTGGGTGATAACTGCATTGCAAGAAGGAAAGAAATTTAGATAAGGAGATAAATAGACTATATGAAACTCATCTCCAAGATATTGTCAATGTAAAACACCGCAAATAAAAAAGAAAATGGCATGAACTTTCAAGAACAACAAAGCAACATGCTATAAGAAACTTTTCCTAAACCTAAAGCACAATCCGCGCAGAACTATAGAAAAACAAGGGGACTCTAAAAGCAGTTGCACCAATAAAACAGAACCCAGGCTTTTGAAATGACAGACAATATATCCTGTATACATAAATTCGGATAAAATATTCACTATCTAATTATTGCGAGGCTGGCCTCTAGAAAAATGTCATGTTCAAAACCCACATGACTGTGTATCGATTAGCCAGTTGTAGTAGACTCTTTTGCTGAAATTGCAAAGAATTCTTCTTTCATAAATTTTCTTTTTTTTCGACACAATTCTTCTTTCCTAATTTAGTCTCTTTTATGATTAGAAGTTAGGATAACCACACTAGAGGAGGTGAAAACAAAGTTTGAAAGAAAAAGAAAACATGTAAGGTTCAATTAACATTAACAAAGAAGAATTTATCATACAGAAGAAATCAGAACCACTGTACTTACATCAAATGCTACAAAAAGGTAAAGTTGCAGAAAAAGGGAGAATACAACAATTGAACAAACAAACGTAAAAGATTCTCCATACTCTCTGCAATGAATGAACAGTCACGATGCATTTGATCTACCAAGAATTTGAGGTTTTTTTTTTTTTAATCTTACTTTTTCGTTTGAAAATTGAGTGATTAATTTTTTTTTAAAAATCTTCATTGCCATGTGATGGTACCGGCAAAAGGACCAGCGTGTAACCGCCATGAAACTTCACAGCGACCACCACTCAAATCTATGGCCTACGAATACAACGAGATTCGAATTACCAGAGACGCAATTTCCTGAAGAGTCTTTTCACTGATGGAATTCGGAAAGCTAAGACAACTCGGAAAACCAAAAAAAAAAAATTCTCGCTCATGAGTCAAGAGCATTCAAAACAAGAAATAGATCAAAATGAGCTCAAAACGCAGAAGCCAGAACACGAAAACACGAGCAATCACGAACAAAAACATGTTTAAGAGAGAGAGATTACTTGTGCGCACTGTACTCGTACTCGGAGTTGATGAGGTCCTGAGAAGATGAGGATGAAGAAGAAGAAGGGGATTTGCCTTGAGGAACAGCACTGAGAGACCTGGCGCCATTGAAACCAACTCTGCTCAACACATATTGAAGCTGCAAAGGCCTCCTATACGCCATTGTTGATCGCGATTCTCACGACCAAGAACGATGAATCTTTCGACGTCTCTCTTTATGTTTGTTTTGCTGTTTCTAATACTAGTTCAATTTCGCTTTCTTTGCGAGATTCAATGAATTCTGGTGAAGTTGCAGAATGAAGGAAGCAAAGCAGAGCAAGAAATGGAAAATCTTCCCACACACAGGCGAGAAATATGCTAGGGTCACTATCCAACAAAGTGTGAGCTATTTGGAAATCAAATTATGGATTTTCTTTTTTTTTAAAGAAAGGATTGTTTTTAGTTCTGAAAGGAATTCTTGTCGTTTTTCGTGACGCAAGGATACACTTCCCAATGTAAATCCATCCCAATTTATTGGACTCGTTTCTGTATTAGTTGTTGTATCATGCATAAAATAGGAATACGAATATGTTTTGTCACATTAATAGTTTGCTGTAAGAGAACAAAGTTTAGCTCCATAAGATTACTAGTATTCATTAAAAAAAAAAAAAAAAAAAAAAAAGAATAGAAATGAATATGGTCCATTTTGATAAGTACGGAATTATTTTACTTTATCCTGTTCGTAGGGACTAAGGATAAGGTTGAGTACACGTATGAAATAAATTATAAATCCACAAGAGAACCAAACAGACAAGGGCTAGTTGCTGATCCCGCCGACTCCTTGAAGCAACAGAAACCCGCTTTTTCTTTTTTTCTTCTTTTTTTTTCTCCCTGGTATTTAGGGCCTAACAATTTTTCAGTATATGTCAGTTTGGCCAACATCTTTCCCGTCGGTTTTCAGGTCATATTTAGACTGAACAGAGCAATTTAGCCATAATATATAATGGATGGGATAATAAAAGGTTCTACTTTCTAGGCAGTACGCACAAACTTTCTCCTACTCTAATTCAGGCAAAAACGTTTGTGGACAGTCTCAGTCTCAGACTGTGACTCAGCCATTGCAGCTTTCCGCGTGCAAGTCATGTGATGCCTCGTGTGTGGACAAGTGCGAGCAAAGTGGCATTTTAAAATAAACTATTTTCTTTTGAATAGTTTTGGTGGCGCGCACATAAAAATAATTTTCTTTTTTCTCTAGATAAGAATATATTAAGACATGTTTAGTTCACTGATTTAAATTTTTAATTCGAATTGAGATGTAATTTTATATGATAATTTTTTACTGTAACAAAAAAAATTAAATGTGACTGTTTCTAAAAAAATTTTATACTGTAATAAAACTCAAATTCTAAACTCGAATCGATAAAATAAACGAGTCTTAATATTATTTAGTATTATTATGTTCATTCGAACAATAGTCCAATTAGATTAAACACATAATATCTCATTTGACATGATGATGATTATCATTCCAAATTCCACTTAATATCTTCTCTACAATACGCGGCACCGCTAGTTTTTGGACAATTATTTCTCTTCAGACTCCGGTACTTGTGCAAAAAATAAAAATAAAAATAAAAAAATAAATCGCTGCTTGAGCATTTGTTAATTGTTACTAATTACCATACTTGGCACAGGCACAAAGCATAAATCTCAACTGGGGCATCTGACCAAAGAACATATGCTGCTGGTAAATTACTTGCATAAAACAGAGAAGAAAATAAACTCCTTTTGCCTGGTTGTTTCCTAATTAAATAAATGTCTAATCCTTTGTGACATAATTGGTCAAAATCCATCCAGCAATCAGTAATACAAATTAGAATATTACTACCATCCATTAGCAAAACATAAAAGAAAAAGTCTTTACTATTTTCTTTTCTTCTTAAAGAACATATATAATTTGAGATAGAAATATCAAACATCAAAAGAGAGAGTTACCGTCTTAATCTCTGTTTTTCAATATATATTCGTAAAATTAACTTTTGTCAACTCATAATAAAATTCATGTACAAGTACAGGTTACACATAAACCAAGTAGAAGATGCTGCTATGTTAGATCATTTCACAGCTCCAACACCCCCCAAAAGAATAAAGAATAATCAACTATTCAACAGAAGCATATAGATCTTAAGGGTTTCTGTTTCAACACATGAAACTCGAATCAAATCATTGAACATACAGTGAATAGCTCGTACGATGTTCAATGCTGCTATAGATACCATGTGCGATTAAATCAACACATAATCCTATTGATCGCTGAACGATACTAACTGGTTGACCTTGCTACTACTGCAAATGGCTGGAATGCATGAAATCATGAAGAGTATACGCACAAGTTACTGGGAGAGGGAGGCTCGAGGAGAATAAAGGGAGGAAAAGAAACCTAACTAGCCAGGATCGAATAGAGGACACGTGGTAGAGAATTTGTATTCAACCAATATTATCTCTTCACTGTAAATAAGAAGCAGAAGAGAACTGAGAGTGAAGATGGTAAAAGAAGAATTATATTTTGGGTCAAGATACGAAGGTGCAAGCTGATTCAGTTGGTAAAGTCTAGCTACCGTATAAAAGCGTACAATTGGATCAAAAACTTCACCGGGATTGAGGAGGGTATCTAAGAAGAATACTAGTGCACAGGATTAAGTAGGGATTGGGTAGGGTATATAACCTATAAACACTTAAAAATTAGAAGTTTCAATGCGGTATATAACCTATAAACACTTAAAAATTAGAAGTTTCAATGCGGTAAGCACATAAGTGCCAGGTAAGCACATAAGCGCCAGGTGCGCGGATTCGTTCTGCCATCAAAATTTCAGGGTAAAAAGGAATTTTACGAGGAAATGACTCGATGGTTTTGAAAAAAACAAAACTGATGTCGTGGTTGTACTATAATAATTAGCTCTAACTATTAATTACACGTGTACTATTAAAGGATGCGATAGAATCACATTAAATATTTTGAATGCACAGATAATATTACTGTGCACCATCTATCGCCACAATTACTCATATCTAATCTAGCTGCAATAGGACTTGAAATCAAATACTGAGCTGTGATTGGGGTGCCTAATTGCTTAAGGGTCAAGATAGACAAAGCATATGATTCTTAGCTGCTGAATTTCATTCATCGGTGCCTATGTGATCAGGAAGTCAGTCTATCAGTAAAAGAGCTCTTCAAATAACTACCAAGGTTAGAGTATTGAGGAGATAAGTTGATGGAGGCACTATACAAATAACTACAAGGTTAGAGTATTGAGGAGATAAGTTGATGGAGGCACTATACAAATAACTACAAGGTTAGATTTTCACAAACGGGGCAATGCTTAATTCTGTTAGAAGAATGTTGTGAGATTTATAGCAATAAATGTTGCAGTTGGAATTCAAAGGTAAAATCAGATAAATATCTGTAGATGTAATTCCATGATTCAATTTTGTAATGATGTTTACTGCATGCAGAATAACATCATTACTCGGAATCAAGATAGAGGATACATAAATTTAGCCAAAAAATGACGGGTTATAGAATAAAGAGGCACGCATGGAGACGAACTACATGTTCCATTATAGGTCATAAAATTGCAAAAGATGATTTTCCCCTCGTTTTGAGCTGCACTGAAATTTTAAGTCAAGGAGATTCGCAAAAGAAGAGATCATAACCAATTGCATAGCACTTATACCATAATAGAGAAGATGCCTCTAGCAAGAAGCCGAAAGCAACACGATGAATGGACAGAGAAGTAGCACACAAATTATAAGATTTGACAAAATTATGGTCAATATTGAACTAATTTCTCCGGCACGAACGTCAAATCAGAGTATGCTAGCGTTGGAAATCTGAAGACCTACACTAGACAAGAAAACGAGCAGAAAAGCAAATATGCAAGGAAAGAAAGAACCCACTAAGTTCCTAAGTTCGATGGTATTGCAGATTAGAATAAGACAAAAGACAGAATCCTATACCCCATAAACATAAAATAGTAGTGAATCCTCCAGCATGATCTTGACGGTTGCCGCTATGGAAGGGTCAGGAGAAGCTCGATAAATATTTCTATAAAAGATTCCCTCTCCCAGAACCAAAACCTAAGGGAGCTATGGAGAGGAAACATGAGAGGGAATTGACCAGAATTTAACTTTTCACCTTCACAACACCAAGAAGCATCCTTAAAACTTTATGTGGCCATCATAAACGCCTGAATCAGGCTCTCTGCTGTACGCTTTTGTTCCGGTGTTCCAGATATATGAGCAATACGGTCTCCCCGAGAAGTTTTAGACTCAGAAATTTCTACCACTGCTCCAGAGATCTGAGATAGGAACAATTATGCATGAGAAATCCCTTTGAATCAAACCATTTGTTACATATTCAGAAAGGACAGAGTTAACTTTCAAATTTTAATCAACACAAAAGGAATTGAAATACATTTCAGATCCAAATGTAAAACCCCTAGAACTCGCTTAAGCTGGGTGAATAAACAAAATTTTCTTCCCTATGTAATAGCAAAACAAACACATGCCTACAATCATTGGAAAACAAAAAAGTGTCACAAGGACCAGAAAAGTAACAGAACGTAGCATACATTGGATAAAGCCTCAGTACAAGTACTTTATATAAGTCAAGCAACTTTACTTCAAAGTTCAAGAAAAATTATGAACTTCTCCCTCCTAAAAGTAGGAATTTCATAAGTTTGTATAGCAAATTTCATATGCAGTGACAGAGCCACGTTATATCCAGTGGAAATTTCAGTTTTTAATTTTTGTCTCTACATTTATAAATGTTTCAATTAAATCCTCATTTTACTCCCTTTAAATTTCCAATTGAAAAAGTGTCCCAAAGAAATTTTATACTTTTCAACTTTTACATTCAAATTTTATAAAATTGTGAATTGAACTATCATTTGCCCCACTGGAATGTTCTAAAGAAATTTATGTATATCCTTATTGTTCCAAACTAAAACCCTAATTATACCACGATATTTCTCAAAAGTTAAATCTAGCCATAACTTTTTGGGACCTTAAAAAGTTCAATTAAACTTTGATATATTTGGGAAAACAAAAAAAAGTGCCACGACTAAAATAAATTCCTGGCTCTCCTAGAATGGGTTCAATAAAGTTCAAAACACGATTTCAGACCACTGATAAAGCATAAACCCACAAACATAGAGAGAAATAGTACAGAATTACATTGAAGGATGGACACACCTTTCGAATGTTAGCTAAATTTGCCCCTCCTTTGCCCATAACTTTACCCACTGCATTAGCAGGGATCAGCATCTCAAGTGAAGAAGAAGGTGCCAACCTGCATGGCAGCATGGTATAAGAAAGCAGTCTCCAATTGATAGTAATAAAGCCAAAGGATATTATAAAACACCAGCCAGATCTTAAAAAGTGATAATACTGACCCTCCATAAAACTTGGATGAATAGGAAGACGTTGAGCCATAGCCATTTTCTCCCAGCTATCCAGAAAAAAATAAATAAATAAATAAAAGTAAATAAAAATGGGAACGAAAAAGGAAGCTTGATACTATCAGTGTCAAGAAGGAAACACACCATAATTGTTAGGGAAAACAAGGCAAATAAATTTCAAGCAGACAGAGGATAAGGCAGTCACATATCAAACATCACGCTGATCAAAATCAAAACCTTAAAGGCAACCGGAAAGAATGACATAAAATCTCTCTTCTCATCTTAAGTCCACAAAAATTCCAAGAAAATCACCATTATCGTGAATAAAAACAAATTTTCAAGTAATACTATTTTTTGATAAAATAAAAAGGGATCTTGGAGTCCGGAATTTTCTCTCTTTCTTTTTTTTTTTTTTTTTGAAACAGAAATTATGGGATCTTATTATTGACAAGAATTATGTAGAAAAGAAAAAGAGGAACAGGTTCCCTCACAAAAGTAGGAAAGTTATAAAAAGGAGCCACAATCCCTGACAAGATCGGAAAACAAAAGGCTACTAAGACCCTTCTCTGGATAGATCAATAAAGCAACACAAAATTAAATCTATCCCATATGAAAACACACTCCTCCTCAAGACTCTCAAAGATTCTACGGTTTCTTTCCATCCAGACTCCCAACAAGATTGCAAAAACAGCAACCTTCCCAACAAAGCTCCTTACAACTCCTAGGAATAACCCATTCAATTCCCAATTCTCTCAGCAAGAGAATTGAGAATTGAGGAGTCCGGATTTTCTTGAATATACAAGGCAACCGACAAATCAGGCCCTCAGTTACTTAAAGGTACAGTACAGAACAAATTTTAATCCACAAAGCAGTCTGTGCTAACCAAAATAATCACTAGCTAAGCATACAAAAGACTGAACAAAACACTACAAAATAAAAATCAATAATCTCTTCGTACCTTAGCACAAAGACAAACAAACACAACTAATAAAGGCTCATCAAGCAAAATTAAAGAGTTATGGACAAAGGTAGAACCAAACAACAAATAAAAAATTTGATGCCTTTGAAAGAAAGTTGCAATAAACCCAACTACCCCTTGTGCAGACACATCGCAGATAATCAAAGCCATGAGTTGAACGCACCACAGCAAAAATCTAGCTCAAGTAAGTTTTCCGCTCACAATTGGGAAAAATCTGTAGATCGTCTCACAAAAGGAATGAAAAAACAATCCTTATCGATCAATCTACTGCTTTCAAATCTATATTAACTGAACAACTTTGGCTAATTTGATTTGATGGATAGGTAAACTGGTGGCTCTTTACATTGTTCAAGCAAGATTGGTCAGGTTAGCCAACTTTTTTGTAGGTTAAAAATCTGCTTATGAGACTTTCTTATTGCCTCTACAATCAGGAAAATTTGGTTAATTTTCTGTTTTATGTCCTCTAGCCTCAATAATAGATCCTATTTAGAATGAGAATTTTGAAGCAACAACAACAATGATGGTGATTATTCTAAATTACAACAAAAGGATAGTAGTGATTTAGTTATGATTTCAAAAAACTGCAAAGCTTGTCCAAATATCTACATACCGACAAAGATCCATATCCATAGAGGCTGCTCGATGAAATCATGCCCAAGCCACTTCCACTTTCAGTCCTCTGATCATAACCTAAAGGAGCCACCTGGGAAACAGAAGGCAATACTGATGGCACTGAAAGACTAGTGCCACCTGAATATAGAGATTCAGTAGCGGCAGTGGGGTTACCCACACCATCTCTATCTCTCAATACATCATCTCGGAGCCTTAAAACAATCTGAATAAGTGCATCGTTTACATTACCAACTTCTCCTGATAACTGGACAAAAAAAAAAAAAGAAGTTAAATTACAAATGCAGTCAATGAGGTGAACAAAACCAAAATAAAAGGAAATGTTATTTTTTTTATTCTAAAAACACACCTCAACAAGTTCATCATTGATATCAGCACATCTAGGCTTATCACCCTTTGAGATACGCACATCAGCTTTTGTTCTCTTACGAATTTCGTTGATAATTGAACCACTTTTTCCAATGATACATCCGATAACTTTAGATGGAACAAGAAGTCGGATAGAAACTGTCTCATCATCTTCGTCATTTATCTTCCCTTGAAGCAATAAAACAGCTTCAACGGCCATAGACTTCAGGTCATCTGCTGACTATGAAACAAAATATATATATATATATATATACACACATTTTTTTGACAAAGAAACAAGGGAAAGATTATTAATGAATGGGAGAAAGATATATATGTATTATCAATGTCTACTATTACACTAAACATGCATGCAATATATTGATGCAGTGTCTCTCAGAATTGTAGTGGATGTACTACTACTAAATCATCTACAATTCAAGAGGTCCAAGTGCTATTTAATTATCGTTTTTCACGTTCTTAATGAAAGCACAGTAAAATATCCATTTGTTCAACAAAACAATTCACAAGATATTATGAATGTCGTTTTGGATCCGCAGATGATTCTCATATTGTCTATCTTCAAAAGACTTATAACCACGTAATTATAAGGCTCCAACTATTATCAAGCTAATTTTTTTTTTTTTTTTAAGAAATTCAAACAAGCAGGAAGAGGTGTGGAAGTGAGGCGGGATGGAAAATAACCACTTGTTTGTTTCATAGGTTTGAACAAAAAGTTATGGTTCAAACCTTTTTTTTTCTACAGTGTTTTCTCTCATAAGATTAAACAAATTTGAATTTATGTTCAAGCCTATGAACCAAATGGAAGCAACTGCACCAAAGTGCAACTTAGGTGAAGAAAGGGAGAGGATTCTATCACAGCCAAGGGCACAGGATCCCCTATCCCAACTTGTGCAGATATCCATTTAATAGGAAAAAAAATAATCTTATATGTGAAATGGACACAGCAGTTCTGAAGGGAGGCAATACCTCAGTTGAAGTTATGGTAATGATGCACTCATCACGACCATCCTTTGTATCGTCAACCTCAACACGAGCACCACTGGCCTGCCTTATACTTTTAATGGTACTCCCACCCTTGCCAATTACACGTCCAATCTTGTCAAAAGGACACAAAACCCTCACAACTAACTCCTCAGACCGAGAGGCGGCACTAAAGCCAGACACTACAGGAAGAGCAGATGAATAAAGAGACCATGTATTTCCAGCATCTGCATAACCCTGAATATCCGGTAAATGCGTAGTGCCTAAAATCGGAGGATAAGACCTAGGGGTGAGAATAGAATCTGTACTTCGATATATCCCACTTGGTGGATAAACTGGAACATCTGATGGGATAATTATGCTTGGCGGGGCTTCTGGCACAGTTGTCTCAAGAGATATCTCTTCCTTTGGAGAGAACTTGTACATAATTGAAGAAATTGCAAATAAGGCTTTTCTCACTCCATCTGATTCACCAGTAATCTGTTCATTAAAAAGCACAAATATAAATTACATTTCACGCACAACATACATTAAGGACTACAAAAAGTGGACATCAAACAAACATCAGTTTTATATTGTTGGTAGTTAAAAAGAAATGTATAGTAAGACTGACAAATATTTCAAGGCATAACCAAATCCTTCTGTTCAACAAATGTAACAATCCACATTATGTACCAATACAAAGTAAATTATCAAAAAATCAAGCTTTCTTCCATTTTGTATCCGAGCCACAATTTCATTTCAAATATGCACTGCTACAGTTTGTCCACATTAATATCCACAAAAAATATCAATATCTGCAACTAAGAACTAAATATCAAACACTAAAAAAGGATCAAAGTACCAAACTTATCCCAGTTTTATTTTTATAAAAAGAATTTTTGACATTTTATAATAGTTCTCCATCAATACCTACATTTTCGTGCTTAATAGGCATCAAAATCCCAAAAGAACTAAGTCAAACACTAAAAAAAAAATTGTTTCACAAAAGGTACTTACTTGAACAAAATTGTCAAACTCCATTGCACATGAATGCGTGGGGTCGCTAGGATCCTTGGAGCTAACTTTAATGCTCGTCCTCATCTTGCTTCTCAATCTCTTAATCGTCGCCCCGGCCTTACCAATCACATTCGCAGACTGGCTCGTCGGAACAAGAATCTGACATTCCTCCGCCTTATCCTTATCCCTATCCCTATCCCTCCGCTTCCTATCCGAATCCCCAACCGTAGCCACCGCATTTGCAATGGCGACATGGACTTTGAGAAGCGCGTCTTGCGCAGCGCAGAGAGGCCTCCGCTCACTGAACTCGTCCTCAATTTCAACCTCGTCCTTCTCCCTAACGTAGCAGTAGATCGTCAAAACCCGGTGGTTCGCACCGGGAAACGGATCGACGACCTTAATCTTTGCCCTAGTCTCTTGCCTAATGGAATTTATCACCTTCCCGCTCTTTCCAATGACACTTCCTATAACTCCGACTGGGCACAGAATCCGATACACAATCAGCTCCTGGCTTTGCCTTTCGTCTCTGCTATCGCTCGTTCGCCGCCTCTGGTTCTTGCCTTCGCCGTCATGGTGGTCTCTCTGCAACCGAAATCGCTTCCCAGTTTCCCCCATTACAGCAAAATTTCGAGCTTTTTTTTCCGCAGTTCCTGATAACGAGAAAGGCTGTTAAAGAACAATCAAAGAGAAACGTGTTGCTTGTAGAAAAAACGATTGAACGTGGAGTTTTCTTTGGAATTGGGGAAAGGATTTTACAGAGACGTGAAATTGAAGAGGCAAAGAAAGTGAAACTCAGTTGGAAGGCAAACCTTTTGGGCGAGTTCCGAGTTTTTTTTTTTCTTTTTGATAATTTGCAAGTTCCGAGTTGTTGTCGATTTAGATTATACAAAAGCCGATAATGAGAATGTAAATATTCAAGAAGACAAACCTCTTACTCGCAGAAACCCTAGAGAGAGAAAGAAAGAGAGAGAGAGGTTATGGAAACGAAAAGAGAGCAAGAGCGCCTTTGGATTATGCAGTAGGGTTAGAAATCGATGTAACGCAGCAGTCGGTAGTGCTACTAGATTCTTACCCGTGGAAATTCTTTTTTTTTTAATTTATTTTTTGTATGTTAAACCATATTACCTTATCCGGAGAGTGGAAAATGAATAATGAAAAAGAAGTAATAAAAATAATGATCTAACTATGCAGCGAAAATAAAAATAGCCAAAGATTTTTATAAAGCTGTTGCAACCCATCCACTTACTTCATTTTTTTTATTTTATTTCATTTTTATTTTTTGTAAATTTCTTTTATTTTTTTATTTTTTGTGTGTATTTTAAAAATGTATTGTTCCTCATTTTATTCTTATGAGAGTAATTTTCTTCACATGTGCTTCTATTTTATTTTTTATTGGTTAAAATAATTTTCTTTAAATGTGTCCTTACTTAAATTTTTAGTCAATCGTTATTTTTTATATATTCATTTCTAAGATAAATTTAAAAATTCTTAAATAGTTGTATAAATGAGTTTTGTATTATTTAATAAATAATAAACTTTTCAGGTGTCTCTTACATAACAATCTACACTTTTAAAATTAGTAAAAATAAATACAAATTATCTTTTCATTTGCCCTTTTATTCCTCCACTTTTATTAGTATTGTTGTACGGAGAGAGGATGTTTGGTAGAGGAATTCGTTTCCTGATTCGAATCATGATTCTTGATTTGTTATAGTATTTTCTCTCATAAAAAATACACGTAAATCGAAAATGGTTCGAATCACATGGTTTGAATCTTGCAACCAAACGTCCTCTCAATAAAAGGCTTAAAAGTCACTGAGAAGCTCATTAAAGCCTAAAGATAGCTCAGCCCTAATGTCACGTCATCAACTCAACAGCCAAGTGTCGAGACTTCGAGATACATTTACGAGTACGAGACTTCAATATCATTTACGAAGTTGAGATTACAAAAAAGAAAGAATATGCCGGGATTATTCTAAAAGTAATTATTTGTATTTTAAATATATAAATTTTAAATAAGAAAATAACTATTATTGTTGTTATCACGATCTTTTGAGAAATATCCCAAAAGATGAGGGATTATCTTTATGGAAACATCCAGAGGCGGTATTTGCAGTATAAATGGGGGCTTATGAGTCCGAAAAGTCTCTTAATTTCATTCGGAGAATTAATGTTTGTAATTTTTTTTAATATAGTGAATTTTTCTCCTCCTATTTATGGTGTGGATGTCACTATAATTCTATGTGTCATTGTTTATGTTGCTTTGATTTGTTCTTATAGCATTTATTTAGCCATAAATCGCATTAATTAGCTAAGAGGAATCGTAAATTTCTTGTTAACGAAGTCAACAAGTATTAATATTATTATTATTTGAGAAAAAAAAAAAAGACAAAAACCTCTTGAAATAGACACTCTTTGATATTGGGTTAAAATAGATCCATTAATTTCATGTACATTGCAGAGCGAGGCAAAACGATTTTGTATCGGTGACTTGATAAAGGAGGCATGGAAAAACAATGGTCACGTATCAACAGAAGAACTCAGACAAATAGATGTTTGTGAGCGTGAAGAATATAAAAAATTTACAGAATAATAATTGGGTTAAGTTTGTAAGTCAAAACAGAATATATTATCAAAAAAATTAACCGAAAATCATTAAAATATCACATGACTAAAATATCAAATAGGGATATCTCCAACATTACATGTGCCTTATTATTCAGAAGTAGGCATTTCTGTAATATTAGACATAAGTGAGTATTGTTTAGATGTAAGGCTATGAAAGTAAGTATTTTGTGTAATTAGTCAAAATTTTAAAAGGTAATCTATAAAACTACCACCGATAAGTTACTAGATGCCGCTAGAAGGCAATCTCTGGTCACAGACACTCATAAATGCGAAAGAGATTAGAGCTGTTAAATATAAAACTACATAGAGGACAATACTCATGGGAGATGAGGTGCGTCATATTGAAGAAAGCGGAAGTACTGATTTTTTATCTTAAAAGTGGAAATTTTAAAGCGTTGTGGACATTGTCATAAATTTCACCGAAATTTCAGAAATTTCAGTCGTACTTAAGGTCCGTTTAGTTTGTTAATTTGAGTTGATATGTAACTTTATGTGAGAGCTTTTTATTATAGCAAAAAAGTTAGATGCGACTGTTTCTGAAAGCTTTTTACTGTAACAAAACTCAAATTCTAAACTCGAATCGGCGAAATGAACGAGGCCTTAATATTTTGAAGATCTCGAAATTTTTTCACCACAAAACTTGGGATAATATAGGGAAAATATCGGCGAATATCGGTCAAGATATCAATATCAGTATGCATATAGTGTAATTTGGGTAAAATTTTGAGAGATTTTCTATAAGTTTCGGAAATAGGAATATGAGCTGTTTAAAAAAAAAATTTAACTTTTCTTATCATATCAATCAATAAATCTTTGCGTCACATGTTTATAACTACTAGGGGCGCGTGCATTTCTTGCCTTTTTTAAATATGAAAATCTTACCTTTCTTATAAAATTTAATTGTATTTATTTATTATTCTCCTAAAGTTGAGTTTAGAAAAAAAAAATAGCAGAGAACTTATTTATAATTATAAAGGAAAAAGTTAGGCAATAAATTATTTATGAGACACATATAAAAAATTTTGAGTTAAATTCATAAATAGTCCCTGGACTTTTTTCTCTTTCTATAATTAGTTCATGTAGTCAATTTTTTTTATGAACAGTCTCTGAACTCTAAAAGTATTTCATAAATAGTTCATCTGTTAAATTTTGGATGGAAACCTTTAACTTTGTCTCATAAAAGGTCCCTAAATTATTTTCTCTCTTTAAAAATAATTTTTATGTTAAAGAGAAACAATAACTATAATAAAAATCAAAATTACAAATCTTTCTCAAACTTCAAAACCCACTAACCCAATATATATATATATATATATTCCATAAGATATAGAAAAATAAAATAAAAAATCTAGATTTTTCAAATTCCCTCCCCCTCAAGATTTTTGTTGTCAGATCTGCCAACTGTCTCCTAACCTCGTGCTCGTCAGCCCCTCCCCTGCCATATGCTCGTCACCTCTATTGTTTCTCTTCCCTACCCTTGTCGCACACATGCGATCCATCGCCGCCGCTCCTTCCTTCTCCAGCCTCATTCGACTCTGGCGAGGCTTTTGGATTCGAACTCAAGAGGGTTACACATTTTGGAATGACACTTTTCGGCTTTATTGACGGCGGTTTGACCGGTGCTCAAGGCTTGAATGTTTGCTGCAGATATAGGCTTACCTTTTTTGCTCTTTAAATATTTTGTGTGTTTTTACACTAAGGAGAAATTTATGTGTTGTTGATCTTTTAAATTTAATTTCTTTATATTCATATTTTTAGTGGAGAATTTTAGATTTAATTTCTTTAGATTCATATTTTTGGTAGAGAAGATGACAACCTGTGTTGTTGTTATTTAGAGATTTTTATTTATTTTTATTTTTTATTGTTTTAGTTCTTTTTCTAATTTTATAAATTTTAAGATAATATGTTTTTTTTTTTTAAGTTTTGGGATTAAAATGACTACAAGGAAAATAATTTCGGATGAGGAGGAAAAAAAATGAAGGGCCAAATAATGTAAATAGAAAAGAAGGAGGGTAAAAAACTAAAGAATAAAATGAAAAGCAAGGAAATAAAGGGGGGAGGGAGGAAATTCGTTGAAAACGAATTGTTTTTTATATATACATTGATAATTATTAATTGCGTACATACAAAGAAAAATATATTTGAGATGATTTCATTAGGAAAAAAAATTAGACGAGGACATATATGAGAATGAATCATTTTAACATGATAATTAGGGAAAAATTATTTATGAGGATCATATTGAAAAAATAAGAAGAAAATAAAATGTAGTTGGAGAAAATGATAAGAATGAAAAAAGGGAGAAAGTAACAAAAACAATCTCTTGAGCAAAGTCAAATTAAACACAGTAAAAATAATTTAACAAAGTGGACATTAAAATGCACAAGATATTAGAGAGGTGAAAGCAACAAAAAAAGATGACGTTTGTTTTTTATATTTGGTAATGATTTAAATTATGATTCATGGTTCTCTATAGTATTTTCTCTCATAAAAAATACACATAAAATAAAAATAATTTTAAATTATGATTCTAAATACATAAATCAAACGTCATCGTAGTATAAAAATGAGGAGAAAAAATATGAAAAACCAAAAGATGTAAATAGAAAAGAAGCGGGGACAAAAAACTAAAACAAAAGGCTAAAAGGTATTAAAAAACGGAAAGAGGATATCCGTATAAAAATGGATTATTTTTCTTAAAAAAATGATTTTTTAATATATATGTTGAAGATATTTATTAGGTACGGTCACGGAGCAATCAATTTGAGCTGGTTTCATTAAAAAATGTTTAAATAAAGACATATATGTGAAAAAAAATTATTTTAAAAGGACAATTAGGGAAAAAAATTATTTTAAGAGGATAATTAGGAAACAAATATTTATGAGAATCACTTTTAAAAAAAGGGAAAAAATGATATAAGAATAGAAAACATGGACAAAAAACAAAAATAAAAGTCAAAAAAATTAGTTCACCAAGACAAATAGAGAAAAAATATTTATAAATGTCACACTTGAAGTAATAGAAAAATATATAGTGTGAAAAAATAATAAGATTTTATAAGAATAAAAGGAAAAATAAAAATGAGTGACTAATAAAGCAAAATAAGAAGGTCTCAAAAAAAAGAAAAGAAGAAAGGCTCGTTCATTTAATTAATTTTAAATTTTTATAATTAAAATTTTTTTAAAAATATCACATTTAATTTTTTATATTACAATTAATTTTTTTTAAAAAAATATAACACTTTAATTTAAATTAAAAACTCAATTCGAATGAGGTCGAAGAAAAAGGCGGGAAAAGAAAAAACAAAAAAAAAGGCAATAGTGCACTGCACCAAAATCGAAAAGAAGTAGAGGGGAAAGAGAGCGAATAGGGAAAAGAAAAGGAAAAAAATGCAAAAAT